AACCGAATTTGTTTTATCTGTTGTTGGGCCTCGCCAGTTTGCTGATGCGTTTTTGGTCCGATTCCAAAATGATCCGCATTTACTCTTTTTTTGTTTGCTCGCGCATCTTGGTTTATTATGCGCTGTTTGCCAGGCTTCTCACTCGTGAGTCCTGTACATGACGGGAAGATCCCAAATCCCTCAGAACACCCTCAGCTCACGTCGTCGGGGCTTGCTGCTCGCAGCGGCGGAAGCCGGATCTCAGCCTCAATAATGATGGCCGAACGGCTGTTGATGAAGGCGCACACTCCGCACGGACGGTTTTTGCCCACGGCCTCCCATCTCTACAGAATGCCATGCAGTGGATGTAGTATACGGTGCCCATGCTTGTGCACATACCAGGTGTTGCTTAGCACTTTGTGTTTGGGCCCTTGCTTCTTGGCCATCGGGCTCAGGGTGTACAGGGCTTGTGTTCTTCAACAGTGGGCCTAGTAATGGTCAATTTGATCTACAGTCCTTCCTGACGGTCGCCTTGACAGTTGGAATGAGTAGTACTTTACTTTCTGTATGCCCGGTAGGTATGGTTTCAAAAAAAGATTTTCTGAGTTAATACGAAGAGTCCGGTTCTGACAGCACTGTTGCTTGTCATAGTATTCCTGGTCGTCATTGGTCGAATTGAAGTAGTCTTAGACAGACCTTGTCATTGCTCATAGCGGACCTATGAGGCTCAACGAGATTAAGGTCGTCTCGTGGGCTTGTTGTCTTGAAGCAGCCATGGGATACAGGAGGTCCAGTACATGTCTAGAGTTCCGTTTAGCAGAAGGCCACCAGACATGATTATCATGGGGTGCCTGGGTCTTTAGCGCGGACAGCCTGACCCCATGGCATCATGCAACAGCAGACGCACACACATGATAACAGGCATGATCACACTAAGGCCAGCACTAGTAATTATGGAAAATCGACAGTTGTCGAGAGTTGTCATAGTAGCTCGGGGCTGCCGTTGACAATAGCAACTGACGAGCACACCTGACATGACAATATCAGGAACAGATATCGAATCGAAGCTGCACTTGGAAGAGAAGTGGAAGCACAACCGTAGCAGCCGTAGCACTGCCAGCAACCACCGTCATCTGTATAATGCCTCTAGTCGTGATACAAGTACAGACAGGAGCCATGCTAATCACCACGTTCGTCACAAAATCGGAAGGCTGACTCGTCCTCATAACGACAAACAACGACAAGAGGGTGAGTTCTTGTCAGCCTGAGACATGGCTTTAGTGCTAGATAGCGGCCTAGATAATTCTTGCCACAAGTTTATTGGCGGGACGTATTGTAGCAGCACGTAGCAGTCGCATCCGGAGATAGTCATAGACATAGATCACAGTGGACGACTAGCCTCCCCATCATTGTTACGGATGAGCGGGCAGTAGTCCCGGGCGCGTATGCACCACCCTTGCTTTTGATTCGGCACGTTTTCCAGGCCACTACAGAATCGAGATGCAGAAAACCGCAAACAAAAACTTCGTCAAAGCGACATTAACAGCGGCAAAGCTGACATGTAAAGGAAAATGACAGAGTCGCGCGCGCGCAATCGCGAAGCAACAAACAAGCTAAACGAGCAGCAATAAGCAAGAAGTGCAACGAACAGAAGTCGCGCCGTAGCTGTCCTTCACCTTGAGGCTTCCACCTCCTTGTGTGAGGTAAAAAACGGCCCCGATTTGCAGGAAGGAGGGCTTGGCATTGCCAATCGGATCCCTGGATAAACCCCTGAATCTTGAAATGTGGGAGAGCTGGCATGTGGAAAGGTTTCCAGTCCTAAGTAACAGAGAGGACCGTCGGCAAGCACCGCCGAATCAACCGAGACAGACGCAGCTACTTAAGTGGCTGAAGGAGTTGTGATCAGAGCGCGGGATTCAGGGTGTCTGCTGTGGACGGAGCGACTTGCGCTGGCACCTCATGCCGAGAAAGATGCAGTGCTGCATGAAGGATTCAGGGTTGTTCAGACTGCAGGGTAGAGCAGGAATTGGCTTTCAGGCAAGTAAGGGTTGAGATCTGCTGAGATCATTCACGAATGGTTCGGCAATAGGTAGATGGAGCCAACGGGCGCGTCACATCATTGAGGTCGAGGCAAGCCTCTAATATGTCCAACTAGTTAAAAGCATTCCAGCTTTGCTGGCCACTCCGGAGGGTGCTGATCCAAGTAATGCTGGTGCCTGAAATTGGCGTCCACAGGGCAGCTGCCAGTAAAGCTGAGGGAGTTGGTCATGAGGCTTTCGCAGAACGCAGTTCTGGTTTGGTGCTCAAGTCAAGAAACCGAATTCGGGCTCTCAGTCTTCTCGCTCTGTTTACTCCAATGGCAATCTGAAAACTGGAAACTCCTGGAACAGCAAATGACCGCACTAAGCAATCTGAATGCCCAGACGCATGGACCGCTCAGCCCGTCTCCCGGCTCATAGGAGCTGCCGTCATGGACATGGAAAGTAGAAATATAGATTACATGAGGATTTTTCAGGGTCTCGGGGGTTGACGGGCATTGGGCTTCAAGGCGAAGAGCACTGGAGTCTCCAGAGTGATGCAAGCCTCAAAGCTGTAAATCTATGTGGCTTGTCACTGCCGCAGCCCGGAGGAGTGAGCCGAGATTGATCGAATCGTTGTAGGGCACCGCACACACTGCACACACTGCACACGCCGCACACCGTAAGTCACCCCTGATCTCCTCTTCCACCTCGTGCTAAACTCTCCAAGCCCGTAGCTCACGACGTCGCCTCCACCCAGCCGGTGGGGTATCCAAGTTGCCCCATGGCACTGCCCTCACTGCCCTCTCACCGACCTGGCCGAAAGCATGCAGATGGAGGCGCACAAGCCCGCCTCAAAGGATTACAAGAGCGACTGTTGCATGGGTAGTTTAGCTAGGTAGGGCGAGCCGAGTGAGATAGGAGACATTTGCACAAGTACCAAGCGACAACACGAAGCTCATCAAGAGTATCTCAGGCATCAGATGAGCCCCACAGCTTAGAACGATTACGCGAGGAGCACATACTCAAGCGAAGAGCATTCAAGGAGCAAAGATGGCGAGAGCATCAACAGCATAATAATTAGTTTGTGATGCCTTTTGACTCTCATGAGAAATATGACTTTCCCCTGCTGACTTCCCAAGCCCGGATGCAAAAGAACACAGAGCTGTCCGCATATTCCCATGCTTCATCTCCTCAAATTTCTAAGGGTTGATGCGCAGGGTCCTTGGCATAGAGTTGCATCAACGGCCCATTTGCTCCTGGAGAACCTGTGCAAAAGCTCTGGAGATAGAAGGTGTGCAGAAGGGCTTCACCATACCATGCGAAAGCATCAGGATGCAGCAGCAGAGCACGAGCGTGGCAGAAGACCACCGGACATGACAGTCAAGACATGAATATCTGTCCACGCGAGTTTGAAAGGGCCAGGCTGCTTTGGCTAGTTCCTTTGACCATGAACATGGTATCTGCACAACACCGTCCATGCCCACGAAGGCGCGGTCGAAGCGCCTGAATCGCTTCTTTGACCACAGGACTACATCATAGATCTCTCGGAGGAGGAGTTCGGGGAGGAATTCGAGGAGCCATTCCAGGACGACACATTTGCGGATGAAGGTCGGCTGTCGGTCTTGTCATGCATATGTATTTGCGGGCGTTCGTATCATGAGCACTGCTTCGAGCAACAGCCACTGCTGCTGCTACTGCGACTGCTGTTACTGCTATTCCTACTCCTACTCACTACTCCTACATGTGAATTCCTGGTACTCCCACCACCACCAGCACCACCACGACTAGTACTGTACTACTACTGCTACCACCACTGCTGCTACCATTGCTACTGCTGCGACTGCTTTCACTACGACCACTGCGACGACGATGACCGCTACTACTAATCCGTTTACTGCTACTACTTCGACGACGAGCACGACAACAAGAACGCGGGCCACTACCCCGACGACTACTGCTACTGGGCGTTCGGGCCTCCCGAACAACACTAACGTCCCCGTCGTGCCAGGTGCTGCTTTTGCCGTTATGATCTTAGAGTCTTAGATGATGAAACACGTGATCCCAATGATGAGGGTAAACAGCAATGACGAGATAAGAGCCAAAATGATAATAGTAAATGATGCCGACATGATATCAGCAGTCATGTGCAAGCGCAGAAAAGTGTGACAAGTGCAGCGACTTCGAATGTGTTGTAACCCAGGCTCTGCCCAATCTGGCCCAAGTTTTAACCGAACGGCTTTCAGAGCACATGCCTCCGCAAGGGAGTGCTCTCACTGAGCATGTGCATGAGTCCACGTGGTGTCGCTAGATGGCAGAAGGCCATAATTTGCTCGCAGCGGCAAATGTGCTGCAGCAACATCTGCTTAGCGACTGAACTGATCTGATTCAAACTTCAATCCACATGCTAAACAACTTCAAGAGTTTGGGGCTGCTCTCAAAACGTCCGAATTCATTTTCGGACTTCGTAGCATCAGGGCCCGACTGCATAGGTGACTTTCTCTTGCACGTACGTTTTATTCAGACTGCTTGCATACTGCCGGCATATTTGCATCATGTGGCTAGAGCACCTTCAATGCTTGGGCTTGGATCTAAATTGGTGTTGCCACATTGGAGGTCTCTGTGACGAGGAATCTCTACTGCAGGCTGGGCAGGGCTTTAGGACTCGCACGTGACGAGCCCAAACTGTTGAGCATCTGGACATGAGATCGGCAAGCCGGCAGGGCTGAAGGATGTGTTTTTGAAGCTTGCCATGCGGGCCAGAGAATATGCCGACATTGCTACATAGGTTGTAAGTGCTATGGACGACATTTTGGATTCGGAGAGATCCAGCATGTAAACTGGTGGCTTTGACACCCTCCTGAGCTCGGGTTGACTTTGACTGAGTGATACACTCCAACAGGCGAAAATCCAGGTATTGATCTTGTCTGTCGTTGGCTGCGTATGGTTTTATGGAGACAGAAGCAACAGAGACGCCGCTATCATGTTATGACGATAGCTGGTATGTGCCAAGTAAGAAGTGGTCAACATCTGTTCCTGAACAAGGCATCGCAGCCATCGCCAGCGCGACCCCAGAAGCGGAACCGTACTGAGTCTCCAGAGCTCTCGCCCGGCTGGGGCCTAAGGATCCTACGGTGACCAGTGGTCTTCGTCGTCACATGGTGATGACATGGCCGTGATTAATGCAAGTGGTTGCATGGTCGTGTTGGATATCGTGGCGGTCGTTGTCGTGTTCGTCGTCGTCCTCCTCCTCAGCCTCCTCCTCCTCCTCCTTGTGCGCCTCCTGCTCCTCCTCCTCCGCCCTCCTCCCCGTCCCCGTCGTTGTGGTCGGCGGTGTGGTTGTGGCTGTTTGGTGCTTGTGCTTGTGCTTCTTGTGGTAGTAGTCGTAGTAGTCGTCGTAGTAGTAGTAGTAGTAGTAGTAGTAGGAGTAGGAGTAGGAGTAGGAGTAGGAGTAGTAGTAGGAGTAGTCGTAGTAGTCGTAGTAGTAGTAGTAGTAGTAGTAGTAGTAGTAGGAGGAGTAGCAGTATTAGTAGTAGTAGTAGTAGTAGTAGTAGTAGTAGTTGTTGTTGTAGTTGTTGTTGTTGTTGTTGTTGTTGTTGTTGTTGTTGTGCTTGTGCTTGTGCTTGTGCTTGTGCTTGTGCTTGTGCTTGTGCTTGTGCTTGTGCTTGTGCTTGTGCTTGTGGTTGTTGTTGTTGTTGTTGTTGTTGTTAATGTTGTTGTTAATGTTGTTGTTAATGTTGTTGTTGTTGCTGTTGCTGTTGCTGTTGCTGTTGCTGTTGCTGTTGCTGTTGCTGTTGCTGTTGCTGTTGCTGTTGTTGTTGTTGTTGTTGAACGTTGTTGTTGTTGTGGTTGCTGTTGTCGTTGTCGTTGTCGGTGTTGTTGGTGGTGGTGGTGCCGGTGGTGCTGTTGGTGCCGTTGTTGTTGTTGAGGCTGTTGTTGCTGTTGTTGCTGTTGTTGTCGTTGTTGTTGTTGTTGTCGTTGGTGTTTGTGTTGGTGTTGTTGTCGTTGATGATGTTGATCTTGATGATGATGTTGATGATGATGATGTTGTTGTTGATGTTGATGTCGAAGTTGTTGTTGTTGTTGTTCCTGTTGCTCTTGCTCTTGATCTTGCTGTTGCTGTTGCTGTTGCTGTTGTTGGTGGTGGTGGTGTTGGTGTTGGTGTTGGTGTTGTTGTTGTTGGTGGTGGTGGTGGTGGTGGTGGTTGTTGTTGTTGTTAATGTTGTTGTTAATGTTGTTGTTAATGTTGTTGTTAATGTTGTTGCTGTTGCTGCTGCCTGCTGCTGCTGCTGCTGCTGCTGCTGCTGCTGCTGCTGCTGCTGCTGCTGCTGCTGCTGCTGCTGCGGCTGCCGGTGTTGTTGTTCTTGTTCTTGTTCTTGTTGTCGTTGTTGTTGTTGTTGGTGGTGGTGTTGGTGGTGCTGCAGTTGTTGTTGCTGGCGGTGACGCATGCAGTCTTGGCGTTGTTGTTGGTGCCGTTGGGGCTGTGGGTGTTGTTGCTGTTGTACTTGATGCTATTGCAGTTGCTGTCGCTGTCGCTGTGGCTGCTGCCGCTGCTGCAAATGCTGGTGGAGGTGCCGGTGTTGTTTGGTTGTCGTTGTCGTGGTGGTTGTTGTTGCTGTTGCCGTTGCTCTTCTGTTTAAACCTCTTGTTGGAAGTGATGGCCTTCTGCTGTTGCTGTTGCTGTTGCTGTTGTTGTTGGTGCTGGTGGTGGTGGCGGTGGCGGTGGTGGTGGTGGAGGTGGTGTTGGTGTTGTCGTTTTTGTTGTCGTTGTTGTCGTTGTTGTTGTTGTTGTGGTTGTGGTGGTGGTGGTTTGTACTTCATGCTAGCCTTGTCCGGGTTATGAGTATTGCCACAGTATTGCTGCTTAGTTTTGGTGGTGCTATTGCTATTGTTATTGTTGCGGCTGCTGCTGCTGCTGCTGATGGTGTTGGTGGTCCTGGAAAATGTGTCGCAAGCTTTGCGAGCAGCCCTTGTCCACTTCCCTGCTGGAGAGGTGCATCGAAAGTAGACAGGTAGTTATAACTCGTGCCGACAGCCTGAGAAGTTTCGGTTGCGACGCTTGATCGAGCACAGTGGCATTCAGATGTTTCGTGCTCGCTCGGTTTCGGCTTTGATCTGCATCGGGTCGAGAGATTTGGCATTCACCCCTTGTGACCAGGTGCAGATTGCGAGCTTGAGTTCGAAGGGGACCACACAAGCGATGAGGACATTGGCTTGGCTCCTGCTTGGCTGTTCAAAGCAAGGTTCCGCGCAGAGGACTTTTCAGCACGGTAAGCGGTTTCGGAATGTGCAAGCATACCGTTAGACCGAGCACGATGCAGTTGCATAATTCAAAACATCCGCTTGCGGACCCATCGTCACTGATCCAGGGTTTTCAATGTTGACCGGCAGGTCACGGACATGAAGTCTGAGTCTAGCAGTCTAGCAGCTTTATATAATTTGGGGGGTCTGCGTGCGTTGCGCCTCGCACTATCCGAGGAGGGCCAGCTCACCAGCATGTATCAAAGTCCCAAGTTGGAGTCCCGCGCGACTTGCCGGAGGAGTTCATCCCGCGAAATGCCAAGCTTGCAAGACCTGCGTTGATGAAGGACGCCCTGGCGCAGCCAACAGCACCAAGAGCAGCATCATTCTGCATGCTGCTAAATGAGTATGGAACGCAGGGCTGCTAGGATTTGTGTCGAGTGTTGCTTTCAGTTGGGTTTCCTGCTCCTCTTTGGACAATGTCTTGGCAGGATCTGCCGTTCGCCACTGCCCATGAACAGAAGGCATGGTTTCTTCTGTTTCGGTCTAGCCCTCCCTCATGCTTGTTTAAGATGACGAAGGGCGGAATGCCAACAGTGTGGTGTTCGCATGCTTGTGCTAGGCCGAGGAGAGAATACTTATTTCAACATGTTCATTCAACCAGTGGCTCTTTCGGCTTACTTATGGTTTCCGCAGATGTATAATCCGTAAAGTTTACAAAGACCTCCGCCATTTGTTTGTACCCTAACTGGTACTGTGCCGGCTCCGTCTGAATGGCAGAAGCTGAAAACATGTCGGTAGTGTTGAGCATTACGAGATGACCGCGAGAGTGGAATGGTGCCTGGCCCGCCTGGCCTAGGGCCCTAGGGCCTAGATCTCTGTCACACCGAAAAAGCGAACCACAAAGAGTCAACGAGGTCATCCCTGCAGCCTGCAGCCTGAGCCCCCGAGCCCAGTGAACAAAGACGACGGCACGACTTCGACTCGCCGCCGTCTTGCGCAGGCATCGAAGGTCCAGCGCTTGCCAAGCCAGCTGCAGGCTCGGAGCAGTGCACGCAGCCGGCTCGCCTCCTGTAACACTGTAACCTTTCCTTTTGTTTGTATAAGGTCCCGGCAACATAATGTAATCCCCGAGGCACCATTTCTGGTCCTGTGGTGGAGAGTCTGGCGGCTTAGCGCTTGTTTCTGACATAGGATCGTCGGTGGATGCCAAAGGATTTCGTAGAACCTGTCGAGATTTTCGAGGTGTCGCGAGACAGAAGGCGGAAGAAGGAAGGAATCAAAGGAACCGAAAGGGAGGCATCAAGCTGACATGCAGTTCGCAGAATGATTCGCAGAATGCCACGCCAGAGCCGAAGCCCCACAGCCGGTCGGTAGGGCTACGAGGGTTACATCTCTGGGATGTGGACTGGAGAAGACGTGCAAACTTTGCATCTATAACTCAGAATCGTCACAGTTGTGGATGTGGGAGGAGGGAGTCAAGCCAACCTTTCCCCTTCACACAAGCTGAAACCAACGGAACCAGCCCATTTTTTAGGGCGCATTTTGCTGGAGTCAAGGCGGGCAGTCCGGAGTCGCTACACTTAGGAGACATCAGGTTGTCCCGTCCTACGATGCAATGTCTAACACGCACCAGTACATAATATAATATACACATATAAGAAATATGCTACATTTACACATGTATACCGTACACTTACTTACCTGCATGCGTGCGTCATGCATGCTGATGGTTCCATTCCTTCGAAGGCCTACGGGGTAACACAGACTCATCTGCGGCCATGGCAAGGGCTCGGGGGGTGATGGAGGTATGTGTGTGTGTACATAACGTGAGAGTAAGCACACATTTTGTATAGATACATATACTAACGCACACAGACACACACACTTAGGCACACGTTGCCCTGAGTGCCCAGGGGAGCGCAGCGTAGTCCAGCACGACCTTTTCACGACATACCTTCGTGTCTCGTAGCTCGATTGGCTTGAGCTTTCCGGCTCGAACCATGCAAGGCCCCTGGATAGGGGTGGTGAGTGACCCAGAGGGCTGGAGTAAAGGGGGCAGTCGTGATAACCAGTGGCAAGTCGAGGTGTATTTATGCACCAGCAGCCAGTGGAGTTGCAAGGAGCACCGACTTAGCCGCGGCAGGGACTTCCACACTGACCGCTACAGGGTGCCGACAGTTGGAAATTTGGCTGATGGGAAAGTGGATTGGTTCAAAAGCCAGCGATCACGCAAATACGATCCAAATAAGACTCATGCGGGAGATGAGGACCCTGGCCTGGCAGTGGCCATGGACGAGATCGCAGCCGTTCATGGGCCCAATACTTGGAGCTCATCGACGTGGAGGGCCCGAGCTTGCTGGGCACAGACGAGGCCGTCATGGCGTCGAAGGTGTGGGCCGGAGAGTTAAGGATGAGAAAGCTTCAGAGCAAAGGACGGCAACGGAGATCCGAAGGGAGACCACAAAGCAGGAGGGAAGGACAACAAGAAAGGGAAAGGCGAGAAAGGGAAGGAGACCGCGCCCCACGCGCGAATGAGGAAGAGCCAAGGAGGTCTTGGATGATCAAGGCCCCACTGTCCCCTCCGCCATATAATCCATCGCCACGGTGCTCTCCGGTGAGTTCCTCGACTTTGAGTTTGGTGACTTGGGTCATAGTGATGACGAAGGGCTTTTTCACGGGGAAGGTCTTGAAGGAACACCCGCAGATGCCATGCCCATGGAAGAGTGGAGGGAGAAGGTGCAAAAGGTATTGAATAGGAGACCGAAGCTGCTCTCGGTGGGAAAGCTGGTCAGTTTTATTTTGTCACTGAGGTCTTCTTTGGACAATTTCGATTGGAAGGTTTCGAATCCGGAGGGGCTGCCCCCGGGCGCCGAGCCCGCTTCGAGCAGCGGCCGATCCACCAAGCACGGCGACTTGTTGTGGATCCGCCCCAAGTCGGTCGTAGACGAGTTGGAGGGAATCTCCACGAACAACCTCCTTTGCCTAATTTTATCTACTGCGCGGGGTGGTCTCAGCCAGTGTTTGTTCCGATATCGCCGGTCTTGCATGCCAACCAGAAAAAGGCCATGGCAAAGATAGGTTCTCAGGTCGATCGACTCCTGGATCGTGAGGTAACGCTCCCTCCACGCAGGAGGCTGTGGCGAAACTGGTTTCGAAGAAGTTCGATTGTACAGTACCGGGACCTGGTGGCAAATATGGTTGTGGTAGCTTAGCCCCGAATCGGCTCAGCTGCAGTTGTTGACCTTCAGGATTGCCTCCCCGATGAGCTGAAGGAGGCACTCGACAATCCAAGGGCCCAAGGGACTACCTGCCGAGGTTCTCGAGTTAGAGCCAGCGAGTCTGAGTGGTACAAGATCGTGAAGGCCGGTTACGACCGAGGCATGTTTGTGGCGGTCAAAGAGGATGAGGTGCCGCAAGACCGAAGAGGCCACGGTGTCGCAAAGGTGAAGATGGAGGGTGGCAAACGGATCGACGCCCAGCGCATCCCAACGCTTTATTTAATCCTATGCCCCACCAATGACGCGATGAAGCTATTGCCCGCAGGACACGTTGCCATATATTGGCCAGCTGTCGGCAATCCTGGCAAAGAGGGACTCTTGGCTGGTCCTGCAGTCAAAAGACCTGCAGTCAGCCTTCAACCGTTTCAGGTTACAGTACCGCTGTCCTGGGCCGCTCTGTTCAGCTTTCTCAAAGAAGTGAGGGGCGATGCTTTAGGTTCACGAGCCGCCCTGCTCGGACCTGGACTTCGAGTGGTTTGTATGGGCTGGACCTCGCTTTTTGACCGCATTCAGGCAGCAACAAGGCACATCGCCTAATCCATCGCACAGAGAACTTCATGTGGGGATGTGTCGATGCGGTCGGCGATTCCGGACACCGAGTTGAAAACTGTCCTGTGCGTGGACAACGTTGACGAGATCCGGCACCTCAACAAGAAGGAGATTGCTGCGCAGGAAGCAGGGACCACGGCTGTGGCTGTGTGAAGCACTCACAGCATTCCTTTCTGTCCATCCTGCCAAAGACAATCCCCATGTGCCTCAAATGGTCATTGTGGTTCGTTCCTTGACGTGGCATCAGAAAAGCTCCATTTACTGATCGTCCAGAAGGCCATGGGGATGAGGCCGGAGGCCAGCGACACTGCAGATATTCTTCGGCTTATTCTGTTTGGTCGTTGCGAGGAAGAGCAGCCCCTGCCAAGGGCATAGAACGACACAAGAGAAGCCACCACGCAGAAGAACCTTCTGCCCAGCTCCTCCTCATTGCGAGCTCTGCGGCGAAGCTTTGCCAAGAAGGCCGTCATCTCCAAGACGTTTATGCGCTGCTCTTCCCGCCACTTGTATAAGAGAGCGCATCCTTCCACAACCAGTGGAAATCCGGGTATAGGGCCCCGGTCTGTGCCCACAGACGTCGTCGCCCCTGTCCGAGAGGCGAACGTCGCAGCCCATGTAGTGAGCGAGCCTCAGCAATTGAGGTGCATCTCCTCGTGACCCTGGTCCATGGTCTCCTGAGTCCACTGCCCACGACACTTCAGTGGCTCCTTGGAGCTGGTGTCGCATGAGCCCTCCCAAACTGAGAGATCTTGACCCAAAAGCGGCCGTGTAAAGTGAGTTCAACTCATCATGGCTTCCTTCCACCATGACCAAGCAGAGCGGCCCCGAGTACTCATCGTCCTCCTCCTCCAGGTCCGTTGGATCCTCTCGTTGGTGCTGGGATGGAACTTTTTGGCATTGCAAGTCACACATATTCGACTTTTTCCGGAGAAAAGGGCCATCATTGTTGCAATTCAAAAACTTCAGGTCTTCAACAATCACTTTCTCTGCGTGGACCGGCCCTTCTTGAGGTTATTTCTTGTCTGCTTTTCCGGGCAAGCCCGAGGACACGTATTTTCACCTTCCGAAGCGAATTTGCAAGCCTCCGCTTTATTCTCTGCGACGAGGCGGGGCCAGACTTCTATCAACGTACCCAGAGTCTGGGAAGAACAATGGTTCAGGGCAGGTGGAAGGATGTTCAAATCACCACGGATTTATATCGATGCTGCCAGAGCAACTCTGGTCCGATTTCCTGCATCGCCTCGCGGCGTATTGGCGGGTGGCCAGGCCAGGCCGTTGTGACGCATACTGGGACGTTGGCGCCACCTCGCACGGGAGACAGAGAGGCCCACGGACCAGATCTGGCACTGTATTTTGGATTTCTTTTGCAGCAACGGCTGCGCGCCAACAGTGATGCTTTCCAACCTTTCCGGACAAATTGCTTCTGCCTGTGAACGCTCTGAGTGCCCAGCGGAGCGCAGCGTAGTGCAGTACGCCCTTTTCACGGCATGCCTCTGCGTCTCGTAGCTCGGTTGGCTCGCCACCACCTCCCCATCATGGCGCAAAGTCCGGTGTTGGACACCTCCTACGGGAGAGAGGCGCGCGCTCCAGATCTGGCGCTTCGTTTTGGTTTTTGTTGCAACAACGGCTGCACGCCAACAACAAAAATAGATAGAATTATATATAGGGAGCGGTCATTTTCTTAACATTCTTGAGTTTTCACTGCGCCATGGTTCGGGAATAAAGGCCTGTTTTTTTATCAGAGACACGCGGGCGATTTATCGAAGAGATGCGCGTGCAATATCAAGAACGCGCGTGGGAATTATGATTCATATGCGCAGGTATTGTTTAGAGTTTCGGGTACAGGAGTTTCGGGAATCCGTTGCACGTGTCTGAAAAATCTTTTCCATGTGCCTGAAGAGCTTCCCGACATGTTGTCGATGAATCCGGCGCAAGTGCTTGATATCACCGTGCCATGTGTTGAGCCATGGCGCCTGAAAACGACATCCCCCAACTTTTACATATATATATATAGATGTATGTATATATATCTATATATACTTATTCATTTACTCACACTCGCACATATATATATATACATATATACATCCTTAGTTATGCATTTACCTGTTTCCTTTTTTAATTTGTAACACCGTGTACAAGCACACGCTCACGTGTATACAGGTTTGAGTACGTCACATTCAGCCATACAGAACCAAGCGATAGCACGACGACGACGACGACTGCTACTACTACTATCACTACTGCTACTACACTACTACTACTACTAC